AGTTTTTCTTTTTGGTTTTATAAACACATTTTTTGCAACTTGTTTAATAATACTTTTTATTTTATTTCACATAGTATTAGCTTCTTCATGAAAATCTTAGGTCTTGAGTTCTTGTAGTTTACTCAAAATTAATTTTATTTGTATTTTTAAGTGGCCCCATCAAATTTATGATAATATTTCATATATTTATATCTTTCAATCCTTCATCTTAAAATCCAAAAAATTTTCACTTGGAATGACCTTTCAATCCTTACAATCTCGACGATCAATTTTTCTCATAAGAATTATTAGATCTACATTTAAAACTGATAATATGCTCATCTATTTTCTTAAATAAAGTATTACTGATAACAAAATCATAAGCTAAAGCAAAATCTAATATGACTCTATCTTCTTCATTAGTCACTAAAAAACCATAGCCCCATGAATAATTCTAAAACCTCTACCATTCGAACAACATGTATGCCATTGATGAAAATAAAAAAAATAATTTGGAAGGTTGAGCCTAGCAATAGATTGGAATTTTGTTCGCTTAACTATTAGACTATTGTCAAAAGAAATGTATTATGAAACACAAGACTATAACAAGTCCACCACATCAAAAGGAAGTGACAAAAAAAAAATGAACATAATGTTAAAGAGGGTCAAATTTATGTTATTTAAAGATGGTCTGAGGACAGGAGTTAATTTGCATTATATTAGGTAAATAGACCTCCGAGTACTATTATGAAGTTGAGGACTCCTCAAGAGTTGTGATCAATTTACCCTATAAGTTATTCAGTTTTAAGGGTCTTTATGTCATGCTTTTGTTCATGTCAAATAGAAAATTCTAAACACTAGAGAAGAACTGTATATTTTTTGGGTATGCAAATGGAGTGAAGGGATATATGCTTTAGTAGGCTAATGCCAAGTCGCCCTAATCTTGATCAACAAATATGCAAAGTTCACTGTCAGCCATAGTTTAGTATAAGTTAGTACAGATTGATGATTTGGAGGGGAACAAATTATAGAAAGCATGTTTAATCTGATGTTGAGTGCAAAAAGTTAGACAATAGCTCACACAACAACATTTTATGCTTGGACTTCAGGAGAAAGATGGCACAACACACACAAAAAAGTTGTAATAAAAGAGGAAAAATTATTGCTTCTCATAAACCCAAAACAAAATACATATTACAGTCTCAAACATCTGATTATAAGAGTTCCTTATAGTCTCATATGCTCTTAAGTTGTTGCAATTTTTGCTTTAAACTAAGAGCCATCAATTTTAAGGGAGCGGTGGAAGGAAATAAGAAAATTAAACCACCAATACGTCAAATGAGTTGAAGAATTTGCAAAACAATGTGAAGTGAACTTAATTTAACTCTCTAAAACAACAAGAATTGTTGACTACAAATGGGTCTTCAGCGCAATGAAAGGACATAACAATTTCATGTGTAAAGCATGATTGATTACGAAGGCATTATTTAGAAATAAGGTGTATATTTCATGGAGATTTTCTCACATGTTAGCCATTGATACATACTTTCATCATTATTATGCAATACAAGACATGCGAGTTGGAATAGCCTCTAACTTTTCGCTAGGATGGTTTGAATCAACAAATTGACATGAAATAAGCAGCAAGATTTGAAATTATAAGAAAAGAGTATCATGTGTGTGCAACTGACAAAGTATATATAGCCAATGGTAGTCAATGCATGAACGCATGCATGCACTATAACCGAAGTCCTTATATATTTAAAAATTTAAGAAAATCAATTGAGTGAACTTTTAAAATGAAAGAACATGGCGCTACTAAACAGATTCTGGGAATGAAGATAAGCTGAAATCAAAAGATGGGTATATTTTTGGTATGACAATAGAGATATGTTGAAAAACTGTTACAAGGACCTGACTAACTGGATACAAAGCCCATCACATCACCACTTGCTAGTCATTTTTATTTGTCAGAAACTTCACCTTAGCCACAAAAAGAGAAATATATGACTAGAGTGTCTTATGCCAGTACAAATAAAAGAATTATATATTTTATGGTATACACACATTTTAACACAATGTCAATAGTACTGTGAGCAAATACATCAGCCAAGCTTACTAAAATAAGCCATGAAATCTTGGGCTTAGGAGCAAATACATTTCACATGTCACTATCACTTAAAAGCATCACAATCCACCATAGAAGCTTTGCTGAAATCAAGTAGGGCCAACATTTGGCTTAGGTAATCCACTAATTTAGAATTTCTGAACTTAACCATGTAATTGATGACCAATCAAAAATGTCATACTAAATAGCTCAATTATCAAAATAGTTATAGAGCTGCAAAACTTTTTGAACCATCGGTAAAAAGACAATAAACCATAAAACTCCTCAATTAGATTAAAGACCCAAGAATTGGCCAATCAATGATGACTTCTCGATATCAGCATATGAAATGGCATAGCCCATAAAATTTACATTGTTTGTAGGAAAATGACACTTGGAATCTGTTTTCATAGGTTCCATAAATTTATTGTTGTAATAGATGTTAATACAGGTCATGACTATAAGATACAATATTCTCAAAGTAGAAAACAATAAACTTATAGCTAAATGTAAGAAAATTTAATTCATGAGCCACATAATATTGGGGTGGATTGGAGAATCTGAAAGCATAACCTTCTACTCCTTAAACTCATCTCTTACTTTGATTTTTGCTTTCCATTTATCGCCAAATCTTATGTGAATCTAGTGATATCAACCCTTGAAATCAATCTTCGAAAAGATAGATGATGTGTTCAATTGGTTGAACGGGAAATTCAAATGAGGAATTGGAAACTAGTAAATTATGTAAGATTATCAATTGCTTGGATGCCAAAGCACAAGCATCATGTTTTGTTTTTTACTAATAATTAATTCATTGCAATTACATGCTAATTGGAACAACTAAGGGCGATGTGCCCAAATCCATGGCACAACACTTATGATGCGTTGTTCTAGTTGTTAACGTTGAACTTTAATTTCACAAACATTGATGCCAGTTTTATTGGCCCAAACTTGAAGCCATTGCCCTCGTTGTTGGATCTTGAGACATAAAATCTAGAGATTTATTGAAACGCTTTACCTTGATTGCCAACTTAACTGTATTATGAATGTCTTTAATTGGGTAACATTCTTGACTTAGTGCAATCCTCAAAGGAATAGCCCAACTATATGGTCTTCCAAATCAGAATCATAGCATTTGATCAAGAGTTGCTCAAAAGCAACGGCATTTCTCCAAGAGCGTTTCCTTATGGTAAATGATATGAAAGTCAAAGAACACCAAATGTTGATAATAATACAATTGATACATTCAGTGAAATATTTTCTTCATCTATTATTGCATGTCCTTTTTCATAGGCGTTGTTGCTTCAAATTTCTCCTACCATATAGATGCACTTTTAAAGTTTGATAGTGAAAAGCTTCACCTTGCACTCATGGGGAACCTTTTCTATATTACAAGGCACTTTTGATATCATGCATCCAGTTAAACAAATCATCAAGGTCGATTTCCCTTTATAATTTGAAATACCCACCTTAATGCTGAAATCATGGATTTATCCTTGGTTTGTAGTGATGATAAGGTACTTCCTCTTCTTCATAAACCGTTTGGTGAAACAAATATCCTACTCCCTTCATCCTCCTCAAACTTTTATGCCCATTCTACACGGTTATGCTCACAGACTGGGAGGCATTACTGAAGCAATTGGATCTCACATTGCATCTTATTTATGATAAGTTCTTGCATGAAAACTCACTCAGAGCGACATCTTCAATCCTATACTCTATATTAAACTGAAATGAAAGAAAACCAAGAGATAGAGCAGATCTAGGATTATAAAAGAATAAGGTAGAAAAAAGTTGATCATGGCAAGTTATAAACTTCGCCATAACAGCAAATAAGAATCAATCTTGGTAAAGTTAAAAAGCTCCACTATAACAACAAAAAAGTGCTCTCAATTTTAAACAACACAAATGGAATCATTCATCAATCCATACAAAATTGGATACTATAAAATATAGGAAAATAATTATGACATTAAAAGCTAATACAACAGGCCTTCGCACTAGTAAGTTATGAATTATGAAGAAATTCTAGTTGTAGGAGCCCAGATGAGCTTTGGTGACAACATTACCTTGTGCCCAATACAAGGACAATGATAGTAGAAAACAATGATGGGCATCTAGGTGGCAAAATCAAGGATTCATTTTTTGTTTTTTGCCAGCAAAGTTGGCTCTTAGGTGCCCTCATGAGCACCTACATGCCCAAGTCTACTCCCATATTAGAGCTTATCTAGCTCTATGGCCATGAATGTAATTCATTATTGACTAAACCACAAAAATGCTACTATTCCTACTTGTGTGGTCATCTTCTATTATTCTCCATAGTACTTGTAAATTGTCTTAGTCTTCTTTATTTATTATTTTTTTTGGGGGGGATGATCCTAATAATCTTTGTTCATCTTGATGAGTTGTTTTGAGCACTTCTGCTACACATGGCTTAACATCATTGGTTCAAGCCATCTAAGGAACTCCTGTCAAATAGATCATGGTAGTCACGAGAAAGATGTTGCACGGATGAGCAACATAAGCCAATAAGCGCCCATGGAATACAATCTTATATTCCCAATTTTTCATCTTTTTCCTTCATGGATTCTTGCAAATAAACTTTTTTAACGTATTGAGGCAGGTAACTTCTGGCTTTCAGTACTGCCAAAATATCTCACCATTATCGCCAACAAGATAATCAACCTAATCAAACCCACAGTAACACCAACAGATGCAACGCAACCGGAAGCAGCATCATCGACCAAATCTGCGCAGGCCGTAGAAATACAACGAGAAGAAACCTTTTTAAACCATCAAGCTAATTCCTAGTAAAATCTGATGCGAATAAACCGAATAACCAATCAATCCAAGCAAACTCACGGGAGATTACCGAATAGGGATGAGAGTGTGATTAAAATGTGAAAATACGGACCAAGCCGTGGCGCTCGCCGGCCTGGAAAGCGAGCTTCTGCTGGCTCATCGCCTGCGTGTAAATCTGCGAAAGAGAGTTCGCAGCGCTGCAGAAGGTCGAGTACATGGTCCGATCAACCTCATCCAATCTCGACGCGTCCGATTTCCTCTTCTTAGCCATCGCCACCGCACCGCCGCTACTCGCCGATCCACCAAAGTCTAACAAGGGGCGATTACAACGGAGTCCACGCTCTCTCGCCCTCCCTCAGACGATTGATTGCACAAAAAGGTGAGGGGCACAGAGACGCGAGAACAAGGAAAAAATCAGCCGGAGGAGCCGCACCCCCATGAAATTAGAGCTTATATGCCTCTCATACAACAACCGAAATGGGGTTGAAAATTTTCTTTTCTTTTTTTTTTTTTTCCTTATTGTATGGATAAGCTTTTTTATTTTTATTTTTATTTTTTTTAGGACATGCTAAAAATTAATTTTATGGAAATTTCAAATTTAGGGTTTGTTTGGGCAGCTGTGTGATGTCGTGTAGCATCATACTTTTTTGTGTTTGACAAAATTGTGTTTTATCTTTTTTTCAAAAACTATAATGGAAAATTATATTTTGCAACCTGGTCCCGTTAGTTTTTTGAACAACAGTTTCTTCTGCAGCAAACCCAAATTGACCTTTTTATTATAAACTATTTATTTAAAAATATTTTTAAATGTGTAGATTTAAACCATATTGAGTTTTGTTCAATGTTAAAAATAGTATTAATTTGATCCAAAATAAATTCTAAAAAATAATGAGGTTAAAATTGTATTTGAATAGACCTTTTAAAAATTGTTCTTAAAGGATTAAAAAATATTACTCTTAATAAATGCAACAAAACTCATTCTAATAAATTTATACTACAATAACTAAAAGATAATCTATATAATGTAGTACATATTCAACATGTGATCCAATAGTTATAGCATAATAAAAAATTATTGAAATAATTATGAATAAAACTATTGTTGCAAGTGTAAACTAATAGTTATAACACATCATATTGACAAGCTCTATATCATTGCACAATCAATCAGTGAGATCACTTCATAAATGATTATTAGCTTAGGATATCAATTATAAACCTAACTCCACAAACACAAGGCCATGAAACTAATAAGTCTATGGAATTTCTATGATTGATGTCCCGTGAGTACAAATCCCACACCATAAAACCAAATCCTATGTCCCACAAGAAAGACTAGTTTAATGGAAATTTGAGATTAACAGGAATTTATAAACGTAGAAAAATAATCAATTTTTTTAAATATATTAACAAAAATAAAAATATTCAAATGAACCCTCCTTGAAATTAATGAATATATAGGTTTTCAATGAAATTAAGAAACATAACCTTATTTTTATGTACATCTAGAGTAATTAAGGTTTATAAATTTAATGTTATTTGCTTAATTAACCTTCTTGAATTAAGCATAATGTAAATAATAGCTCTAATTAATGCCAATTTGCCCCAAGTTTGTAATGAGTGGACATTGGGTTAGCATTAACTTATGGTCCAAGTTTTATTTCAATTGGTACCAATTTGATAAAAAAAAATTAGAAAATCCAAACTCTAAGTAAACTAGGTAACCTTAATTAAACTATAATTTTATAATTCTTATCCAATTTTCAAATGAAATCGAAGTTTAACGAGCATAAAGCAAACTCCTAATGAAACCAAAAATTATGAAAACTACTTAAAAAAATTAGAAATTAATAGCTTATCTTACCCTAAATTAATTTTTAAATAAGTATTTATACTTAAATAAATTCTATTGATACCAAATTGACATTAAATCATTAGAGATTGGTCCACTAATTACTCCTAATTATTGGACCAAATTTTTTTAAGTTTGGATTTTAATTGGTGTGTCAGCTATATGAGTTTCAAAAACCAGATGTAAAAGACTTAAATAAGTTAAGTCATTAAAATATTAATTATAAGTTCAAGATTAATTTGAGATATTATTTTCTTATTTCTAAAATATATATCTCTTAATATTTTGGAAACATTCAACAAAAAGGGTACGAGGGTGGAGAGGAGATTCATTACCTAATGAATTTTGCATTTATTCCATTTCTTTAAATAAAATCTTAAAATTAAATGGAACAATCAAACACTAAAATCAAAACCAAATGCTTAACATGTTAACCTCTCAAATTTAAATCACACCTAGACAAATTAAATATTTATAATAATTTAGAAAAACAAAAAGAAGGAAAATTAATAGGGAGAAACCGACACTGCTTAACACATACTAGATGTTGGACATGACACAAGCCTTAGAACCTACAAGTTAGGTTTTTCTTGTTTGGATATTTTAACATGGTGATTGCTTTGGTTGTGATGTAATATATGGCTTGCAAAAAATTTTGTTTATGAATGAATTTAAATAAGTATATAATACTTATTTTCTTCTAGGTGATCATGCTTAAAAATGGGCTAAAATTAAATCATTGAATTTGCTTAAACTAATAATATTTTCTTTCATGTGCTTGTTTAATAATGTTAAAGCCCTTAATTATAAACAATAGTGAAAATAGCTTTAGCACTTTATTATGTGTTGGACTATGTTTGTTAAATGCACTTTAAATATAAATTATTATGCTAATCACTATTTTATAAGGATATTTGTATAGTATAATTTGTTATTTTGTAAGGATATGAAAGGATTATAGGATTAAAACAAGAGATAATAAAAGAAATTAGGATGAAACTTAAACATGATAACTATAATCTTTAAAAGGAGGAGGACTCTAAAGGCCAAACTTGAATACCCATACTACATGCCTAAATTTTTTTTGTATTGAATTATGTTAGGTTGTATAAGGTAGATGCTTGACTACCAATTCTTTTCTTTTCTAAGATAGTGTTCATAGATCAAGTCATACTTAATTTACCCTTTATAATTGACATTTTGGATTATTTAATGTTTTTATTCTATCTACTCATTAAATTTGTATGATTTTCATAAGTTCTTTTACATGATAATCTTTGTATTTTTTGATATATTATGTTGTAGCTCTAAATTGATTTGTTCACTACAAAGAAGTAAATAGAGATCACACACGGATAGGATGAAGTTTAGTGTAAATAACTACATTAAAGGCTTAATATGTGGATAGAAATCCATTAAAATTGTGGAGAATGACATCCTCGTGATTAATAGAGGAGCCAACTGCTCTAATGTTCTCATTCAATGCCTTAACCTCCAATAGGTATCATGTCATTGTATTTTTCTTTAGTGAGATATGATGTAATTCATTCTTAAGTTGAATTACCCTTGATCGATTTGTAACTTGAAGGTATTTCCCAAGTGCTTTCCAAATTTTAGTGGAGGTTTGGAGATGTAACACATAGATAGGGCTGTCAAAACGGCTCGTTGTTCGCGAACAGCTCGTATTCGGCTTGTTAAGAAGCTCGTGTTTGGCTCGTTAATTTCGTTCGATAAGT